GACGGGCACGTGTCGCAGCGAGCTGAAGGGCCATTCACGCGTTGTCAGGGCGGTGGTGTTCTCGCCAGACGGGCAGCTGGTCGCCTCAGCATCTTTCGATAGCACAGTGCGAGTGTGGGAGTCGGCGACGGGCACATCTCGCAGCGAGCTGAAGGGCCATTCACGCGAGGTCAATGCGGTGGTGTTCTCGCGAGACGGACAGCTGATCGCCTCAGCGTCCTACGACAGCACAGTACGAGTGTGGGAGACGGCGACGGGCACGTGTTGCAGCGTGCTGGAAGTCTCATCTTCATACATCGACCATCTCGCTTTCTCGTCAGATGGTCAGGTTCTGCACACTAACAAAGAAGACATTCCGCTGCCTCCATCCCTACATCTAACGCCACATGCTCAGCAGCACAAGCAACCTTCACAGCTTTCAGTAGAGGACCAGTGGGTGTCCTGCAACATGAAGCTCTTTCTGTGGCTGCCGTTTGAGTATCGCCCATACCACACAGCAGTATGCAATGACTTGGTCTGTCTTGGATGTCCGTCTGGGCGCGTGGTTCTGCTTAGGCTGCGGCAAGGCTGTGTGCAGGAGCATTGCAGTCAATCACAGTAGCATGCTCACAAACCTATTAGAATGCGAATGCAATATCAAAAATGCCAACATAAATCGCTTGAACTGATGTTACCATGATATATGCATCAGGTTTATATATAGTGTTTGCTGGACTTGCTAGCTAGATTACGTTTCCGCAGCGGTGACGACCTTTACCTAACGCTCATTGCATATACGCGATCTGCGCTATGCCTTATTACCATCCCTGGCATTGCAGATTTGTGTGGCGATTGAGCATGCGCCCGCGCCTAGTTTTGTAGCGCTCTTGCCTGCCAGATAACGACGTTTCTGGTACTGCAGTTGAGTCGCATGCACACGTGCTGGCCGAACGCTTCTACATCAACATCGGTGCGCAAAGATCATGCGCAGCCACACCCGCAGGCGGTGCCGTGTAACAAGGCCAGGTTACCTAACTCTGTAAGCAGTCTGTGTCGCCTATAAGACTGTCTTTGGTTAGTTAGTATTAGCAGCCGTATGGATCGGAAGTACCAGATTGCACGTTGAGATTGTGCAAATCCTTGTGCGACAGCGGCCACGACGCTTGTAGCGACTTCTGCGTAATTTTGCAACGTTAGTACATGCTGATAGAACCTGCATATATGTTACAGGAGCACCATCCTGAAGCAAGTAACACTTAATGCCTTTCTTTTCAAGTGAACTGATCCATGGGGTGACCTTGAGGGCTCCTTTACAATGCCTGTACCCATCCACTCCTCCGCGGCTACGGTCACCACGCTTGTAGTCCATTGTTGAAAGTACATACTGCTTCTTCTTGGTGTTGTAGCGGTTGTTGACGTCACTTTCAGACATCTGTGAAAGGGTCTGCTGTGCGTAGAGTTGCAGTTTGTTGTCGCGCGTCTTCACATCCTCATCCTCCTGCTCTAAGGCAACCTCTACAGTCTGCTTCTCCTCCTTAGTCTCGTGATGGTAAATATGGCAAGGGCTTTTGTGGTTGTAGCAAAAGGAACTATAGAACTGGAGGGCGTAATCCTTGCGGTTGCGAGTATATTTGACTCCATCCCATCTGTCATTCTCCTTGCACTAAGTCCTCTGCATGCCGCATTCTTCACCCACTCGAGCTAGTGTTTCACCAGTGAATGCCACTTTTCTAAAGTTGAAGCCCTTGTTATCATACTCTTCTTCCAGATCTGGGTGTTGAAGTCGTGTCTTAAGCAAAGCTCGTAGGCGCTGTTCGATTGGTTCTCGGGGATGGGCAATGGTTCAGGAAGCAGTCAGGGGTTGACGATTATCGGACCTGTAATAGTCCTTGTAATAGTCAGGGGGTAGTCGCCTAGCCAAAGACCGTGACGGCTGATAGAAATGAGGAGTACAGAGTATACTGTCTGGCTCGCTTCTTCGACTCCTCTACTGTGGCCCAGGGGATACAATGAGAGCACCCTTGGCGGTCGGTAGCCGACGACCGGGTCCGCTCAGGACATGGGCTTCACAGTTCCCAGCCCATCCACCCAGGTGGTCCGCGATCTTTTGGGAATATAGGACAGTCTCCTGGCGCTCGTATTGGTGCCAGGCATAATGTACGCACCCCCCATAGTTTGGTAGCCCAATTGAAGTACCAAATCGTCACCAGCCATGTTTCCATGGGTGATTAACTGTATGCTAGTGGTCTTGGCGAGTGAATGTTCGCTCTGACGTCACTGAAAAGAAGCCATCTACACTGTGATCTGCACCATCACCCCAGCTCCCCTAGCTCAATGGGTATGACGTTATAGGCCTTGCTGGTGCTTGTTTGACGTGTGGAGACGCTAAATCGTGCTTTGGTGAAGGTCCATGGTACCCAAATGTACTAGTGTAGTGTACCGGAGTGTGTGGGTGACGTACTGTGAGCCACAGTATGCCATGGGAGAGTGAATATCAAGCCTTTGCCACCCAATCGAGCCATCAACTCTCATACTTGGTTCTTCACCACACTTGACAGTAAGTTTGCACCTTGCTGTTGCTGTCAATTATCGACGCCTGTTACGATCAAAGGGCAACCTGCACCAACACTGAACGAACAGGACTACGCAACGATACGAGAGGAGCCGAGGAACTGTAGTATCGGTCGGCCCAAGCAGTGAGGCCGCGTCGGTGATACTCAGTATGATCAACATCCTCAGTATACTCGATACGATCAGTATACTCAGTACTGAGAGATCCGAGCAATCTCCCTGCGCAAGTATATAGCAAGTAGACACGCTGCCCTTATGGCATCGTGTTCAACCTCGTCAATCAACTTTGTTATTGGAACCTCACCCGCTCTCGAGTTAGACAGTATACTCTGTACTACTCATTGCTCCCAGTCGCCACGGTCTTTGACTAGACGACTACCTGACTATTACAAAGGCTATTACAGGCCCGACTGATAGTCACCAACCCTTGACGGCTTTCTGTACCTCTGCTCATCCTGAGAACCAATCGAATAGTGTCTACGAGCTTTGCTTAAGGCACGACTTCAACAGGTGCTTATACCATAGTTGTGGTGCATCTGGAAGCCCGTACAGAGCTCGCTTGAGCGCAAGCAGTTGACCAAGCTTGCTCTCATACCCTTCTGGACATTGTATGTATGTGAGTCAATCAAGCTCAGCATTGAGAAAGGCATTCAGGACGTTGTATTGGTACAGCTCAAGGTTGAAAGCAGCTGCCAAGGCGATCAAGCATCGGAATATCTTTGCAGCCAGCATAGCCGCGTATGTGTTGCCATAGTCTTGCTGTAGATCTCCCCTTGCAACCAGTCAAGCCTTGAACTTGTAGAGATATCCATTCTCATCAAACTTGTATGTGAACACCCACATAAGTGGCAGTATCTCAACGTCTTTGAGTTCAGTGGCTCTTGCAGCTTGTCCAAAGCAGTCCCGCTGAATAAATCCATCAATCTCTTTGCAGCTTGCCTTCCTGAAATCAGCACCAAATGGATGACAGTCCAGATCTTTCCACCTCTTTGGCTCAACTGGCAGCTGGTCTCGATGGAGTCGAATATTTGGTGCTTCACCAAATAGCTTTGCTGGTGCTGTGGGGTTGATACAGGCTGCAAATGTTGCCAGATACGTGTCAAGCTTTACTGGCTTTTGTCTCCTCTTGCCCTCCACTATGAACTGCTCCAATACCTGGCTGCTAATCTCTCCTTATTGTCTGGCATTGTTGGATGTTTGGTCTAGCTCTTCTCCTTCCTGTGCTAGAGAATATCCACATCCCCAGCTGGTATCATTTGTTGACTGATTTGAGAGCAACTGGCCCATGAGCTGGTTCTGTTCCTGTGACTCGGGTGTCACCTCTGGAGTCACAAGAGCTCCAGTATCCTTCTGCTGCTGACCAGGGCTTTGTTGATTAATTGACCATGGTTGAACGTTGACTGTATCTCCAGATTGGATATCCAGCTCATTTGTCTCATTGTTTTCAGTCTCAGAGAGCTGGTCGGTTAATGTATTGCTGTAATCTAGTATATCCTCAATGTCCAGCACTTCAGCTGCCTCTCAAATATAGTTCTTCTCTGCGTACTGGCCTTGGCTGCTACAGAGCTTGCGTCGGACAAAGACAACATCTTGTCGGAGGGAGTGAAGATATCCACCGATCGCCATCTGTTTGCTAGCGGTCCAATGCAGTGTTTGCTAACGGTCCGCTGCACTGATTGTCCAGCTCATTCGGTTAGCTCGGTTTGCTTCCCCAACCCTTCACTGCTATCCCCTTCTACTATATAGTCTCGATCGATTCTAGCCAATAGCTCTGAAGATCAATCAACACAATCCACTCACTTCAACACATCTTGAGTTCGTATAACTCGTCCAATTGTGGGCAACCAGACTCGAAAGTTGTTGGTAGAGTTAAAGCCTACAAGGTGTCCAATCAATGCTCGAGACTCAAGCTTGGCTCCGCGTGGTAGCTTGTCGTTGAGCACATAGGCTCTAGCTCCAATGACTTCAAGGTGAGCAACCAATGGCTTGATTCTCTTGACCTTGGTGTATGGACAGTTCCAGTCAATTGCTTCGACAGGCATCCAACTGAGCAGGTATATGGCTGACATGACACACTCATTGGCGTACTCCTTGTGTAGTCCTGCGTGCAGTCGAATAGCTCTGCCTCGAGTGATGACAGACCTCTCTGCACGCTCAATAGCTCCGTTCTGAGCCTCTGTAGCTCTCGGCTCTATAGCAATTCCAAGGTCTCTGCATATCTCAAGCAGCTCAATGTATCCAGTATCCATGTCAAGCCTCACAATGATAACCTGGCTCTTGAATTGGCGTTCAATCTTAGCCAGCAATCGCTTAAAGACTTGTGTCAGAGTAGCAGTATCTCGCACCGTCGCTATTTTCGGGCTTGAGATTGAAGATGAGCCAGACACTGCCAGTCTGGCCTGTACTTTCAAACTTGACGACGACACCGAATACGGTGCCTCTGAATGATCCGTTACCGAGGCTCTCTCCAGCGACCTCTTCGTAGTCCTCGTCGCCGACGAAGTGATCGAGCTCCCCGAGCTGAGCGAAGACGAAGCCACGATCGTTCCCTCCGTCGTCTGTGGCAACGACACCCAGAAACATCTGCGGCATAACGTGCATCACGCCCCCGGAATCCCTTGGTGGTTCGCGCGTCGCAATAAGGAAGTCCTGAACAAGAGTAAGTCGAAAGCGCTCACCAGCATCATCCATCACACCAAGGCCCAGGTATTCATAGGAAAGACAGTTTAGATCACCCTTCGCAGCCGTACAGCTGCCGTAGTCGTAGCTTTTCATCTTAAAAACAGTGTCCCAGATCTCGCGACCAGACAAAGGCGTATGTCTTTCGATTATTGGCTTCCGTGACATCTCCGCTTTCAGGCCTTGCCACTGCCACTCCCAGAACGCCTCTAGGTTTTCTGGATTTGTGAACTCGTCGCTTGCCATGTTTACGAGGGTCCGGACGTCCGCGCGGGCGGCGGCGGTGACATTTTGGCGGTCGCGGACTGAGCGGTATCTGGCTAGTTGATCGAACATCGTCAGCTGCCGTGGGAGTTTCAATGTGGAATCCTGGAAATATAGCGGATATTTGGGAAATTTTCATGATAGATGCATCATTGGCGTTGCGTCCGCATTGTCGACGACTCAGCGGTGAACCATGGTTCAAATCGCTTTTATCTGGGTACTCACGTCCAGAGACATCTGAGCGGGTGTGACAGTGCTTAAATTATATGATGCCTCTGAATCATATTCATCGGAATAGCTACCATCTTTTGCATGCACAAGCGCATGAAAGTGTCCACGGTACAACTCCCAATCCTCACGTGCGAAATTGTGTGCCAGTCTGGCAAAATCGAGCATGACGGGTGGAATGGAGCGCCTGACTGGCTCGAGGACTACGTTTGGAGCAGTCTTGCTGAGAGCCAAGGACAAGCCTCAAGCCAGCCATCCTCGGAGCGAGGCACTGAGAGGAAAGAGCAACGTCAGTACGGCAGTGGCGTCTGCACCCAAACATCGAGCGGCAGTCGCAATCACAACAACAACCCCACATCAGCTCAGACGCTGTCAACTTGCGTAACAATGACGGCCAACAACGCCCCTCCAATGCCCACCATCCATGCACCCACCCCGAACGCACCCTGAATGTCATCCTTCAAGGTGGTCCATAGTATCGAGAACAACAGACTGCCCGACAGCAGTACAAAGACTACAATGGCGATCCTTGCAGGATCCCACCCCTCTTCATAGTATATTCCCCATCCTTCTGCAGGCTGATTCATGTTGCCGAACAGTTCGCCCCACTTTCTTTTCGGAATCTGGTTGACAATCCAACGACTGATCTGATTAGGCTGTTCTTGACAAGTGAACAGAGAGTTGAGATGCTCCGGTGTCACAGGTGGGAAGGTACTCGGCGGGACTGGGTGGCATTGATACTCAGCACTGTCGCAAGGTTCAACCTTGTCCTTAGGCGGGAGACATCCGCACGCCATTGTGTTCGAGGACGCGGAAAGGTTGTTGAGGGGCGCGCATGATACGCCGTGAGGACGAATGATTACACTGTTTCCCATGGGAAGATGAAATTTGACGAAGTGTATACCTCGCACAGACTTCAACGAGAATTTCGTGCGCAGCCGCCCACGGCTCCGGCGGTATTGGAGTCGAAGAAACTGAATGAGATCGTAGTCGGTGTCGATTTTCTCGATACGATCTTGCAGGAGAATCTTGCTGGAGCTCTTATTATGTATGCAGGCCATCAAGTGAAGCATTAGCCCTAGCTTAGTGGTGCCTGGGCTGGAACAGCATGCCGCTGCAGATACTGATGTTGACGCTAAAGGGTCATTGGACGATGCCTGATTCTTCCCCTGGGAAGCGCTGCCGCTCGTGCTTCCAGACCAGCGAAGGTGACTGGCGCCGAAGTTCGCTGTGCCACCCGCTGCCGATGCTGATGTTGTCGAAGATGAGCCATTTGCAGATGTCCAACTCTTTTCTGCTTTGTTTGAAGAAGCGTTATTATCCACATTCCGAGACCATCGAAGGTGACGTGGCAGTATGTATCGCTGGTTCCCTGAGAGACTGTCATACGCCGAAACAGTCACTTCGATCGCAGTAGACTCTTGCATGCGTGAAGCAAGCTCTTGAGCACCATTCTCTCGAAGCTCTAGAACATCGCTGAAGAGTCCATCGCCACAGGTCTGTCCGTATGTCAGTATTGCTTTCATATGCCTTATTCAGTGTAAAGAGCCTCACACATTTCCAGCGCAACCGAACCATTTCAGGGCGGAGAGGTGGCTCTAATAACCCTGTTGCAACACATGCTCTGTCTGTCATCAGAGTCAAAGCATCGAGGACCAAGTTCGATGCTAGTTGCGAAGCGAGTCCTAAATCCTTTTGGATGAGCGATACATCCGCAGCTTCAGCTAATTTATCGCGCCAGCTACACCAGGTACTGCCCTTGATTGCCCCCTTCGCGCTTTCTCGTCTCATGTTAACCTCTTGCTTAGGTTCCGCTTGCCTGGAGCCATTGTCCCTGGGAACAACGAAAGACTGGATCTGCGTTCGAAATGTCTCGAAAGCGGCGGCGCTTACAAGAAAGTGACGAAAAGCCTTGAGATCTTCAAAGATATTCTCATCAATTAGCATAGCTTCCTTCTCGTCTTCGAAGCTTTCTTCATGCATCCTGGGCACACGAGTCTGCTCCTCGACGGGTGCGCAGTAAAACTTTGCGACAATGGACCGTGCAAGTTCACCAGCCTTCAATGCCACAAGCCTAGAAGCTAGATACTCCAAATTCTCGGTTTGCTCATCTTCAAGGTTCTTTGCGTAAGACTGAAGTAGACGACGCAGGTTTCGTTGCAGTCTCTCTGGACCTATTCCTGGATCGTGTACAGCTGTCTTGTACAATTGAATTAGCTCTCCATCCTTGTGGAATATGTTGTAAAGCTCCTTGGTTGCCGACGAGATTTGCTTCAGGGAATAGTTGCTATGCGCAGTTAAGTTGGATGCTGACGATGCCAGTGAAGCCACGGAGAATAGCGACGTTGCGTATGTCGATACGTCCGAGATGGTGTCATCGTAAGTATCGTCCCAAGACCGAATTACGGTTTGAGTCTGGAGCAATGATGCTTGTTGGGATGGCGGTCTGGTAGTGTCAGAGTGTGCTCGGTTGTGACGATGTGTTTCATGCGACTCCTGTGTCTCGCGTTCATTCTTGGGGTCCTGAGATGTCTCTCTCTGTTCAGCCGTGGCATTGAGGCGAGCTCGGCGTGCAGTCTTGATTTGCTTCATCTGCTCACGAGCTTCAGCCTCTACTGCAGCCTTCAACTGAGCAGTCTTTGGGTCCAGATCCTCCGAGCGGATATGCGTCCAAGTGTGAGAGTCATCCACTTTTGCTTGAACCAAGCCTGAACTTCCATGTCGATCCTCCCGCTCCATCATCGACTCTGTGTGGTCAGTTTTTGGATCAGAGACAGTAGAAATCATCGAACTAGATGTCTGCCCCTTTCTTGATCCAGCTGATGGTGACTCCCGATCAACATCACAATCAAGATTCAACATCTTGTCTGGATTGGAGATGTTGTGAAGAGATCCATAAGGCTTTTGAGAAGCGACAGCTTCCCCAGTAAAGTCTGGTACGGCCTTCCACCCTTCAGTGCCTTCCTGATCACTATGTGCCTCGACAATCGCAGTCTTGATGACGGGAGTGGCGTCGTTTGGGAAAGGGTCTGATGCCGTCGAGCCTGCCGTCGAGTTCCAATTTTCGTCGTCTGATGCACTCAGCCATGTTTTGCTGAAGTCTCCTCGAAGCGCTTCGATCTTCCTTCTGTACAAGTCTTCAGTCATATCGCTCGGTTCGGGAGAGATATATCGACGAAAGCTCTGTGTGTCATTGTGCTTGTCTTTCCGAAATTCGAGAGTCCGGCTAGCAGAGTAGTACTGTGGACTGATCTGGAAATTGGCATATGAAACAGGCCGGAATATCGAAGACGTTTCAATACGTTCGGGCGTGGCATCTATGAATGAAGAACCGCTTGAGTGTCGAAAGATCAGAACAGAAGACCCTTTGTGGTGTGCTGCTTGTTCCTGTTCCTTCGGTATGCCCTCCTTCGAAATGACCTCATTCAGACCGAAGCGCTGCGGGTGTATCCTTTTATCCAGGACACCCTGCTGGTCCCAAGGTACCTCGAGGATCGCTCGCCGCGGCGTGATCGCCTCTCGAGACCTGTTGAGGGCGCGTCTTTGATCAGGAGATTTAAGCTGCTTCGCGTGTTGTTTGCGCCACCATTCTTCTCTGCGGGCTTTGCGACTGAGGCGATTGCCAGCGTTTTTTTCTTCGCCCTCCCGATCGTTCTGCCTTGTGGGTGCTGATAATGTAGGTGCAACGTTCGGATCTGACTTGCCCCCAGAATTCAGTATACCGTGAGGGTCGAGAAGCGATGGCAGGCGGGCCGTGCTTGCCTGGATGGACATGCCGTCATGACTTGTCTGTGCCGGCGTGCTCTCTGTGGGTGCTTGATATCGTGTAGGATCTGAAGCAGGAGGGCGTATTCCCGTGTAGGACTGTGCGTTCACTGTATTCTTGACTTCAGTGGCCATTCTTGACAGTGGTTCACGACCAAGCCATATTCCTGCCTCTGACCACGTGAATTCATCTCTTGAACCCTCAATTTGTCGCTCCTCAACACCGAACGCATTGACAATTTGCTCTGTGCCTGAGTACATATGTTGATAAAATGGACTGTCTCCAAATGCGCTGGCGCTTTCGGTACTGATGTTGTCCTGAACAGGGCCAAGATGCGTGGATTCTAATTCCGACGAATCATGGGCTAACAAAGCCCTTTCTAAAGCTCCACGTCTATCAAGGCCGGAATCCGAGTCCTCAGGATCTGATACAAGGCTCCAATCTACGGCATCACCGTCTGGAATGCGGCTTGGGTACGGACTCGACAATTTTAAGTGCTGTTCTCTTCCCGTCTCGATTGAGAAACGTTCTCCGTTCGGCACTACCGTGCCAGGTTGCAAGGAGGCAGTTCTAGTCGGGTGACCTGTCGGCCTAAGATCAGTCATAGTCTCTTCGTTCGAATGTCTTGCAGTTCCCTCTCCTACTTCGTAGGTAAACTCATGTTGGTGCTTGCTGGTACTATGCAAGCTGCAAGCATAGCCGACGAGAACTGTTCTCTCCTGTGTCGTGTGGGAGGGTTCGCCGTGTTCTTCACACTGATCGATTGCATGCTTGTGGTAAAGACAACGACAGACTGAGTAGCGCTCAACGACTTGGTAACACATATTGAAGACAAAGCACCCAGAGAGGATATTGACTGTTAGAAAGAAAAGCTCCGCAGTCCAAGGGGACGATATCGCCAAACGCAGTGGGGTTGAATTGTTGTAGTGGCTCGATCAGGCTGAACATCCACAGCCTTGGCGGCTAGACACAGCCTCCACATGTCAGCTCCGCCACCTAACCCTGCATACCGTACCCATCTCTCTGCATATGACAAGGGGTTCCACACTCGATTCCAATTGCTTCATGGTCGCATATCGTAACCCTCTGAATATGATATGGCTCGAAGGAGGGGCTGCGGTCGACGGCTCAACGTCTCTTGCCCGGGTTAGCCATGGTGGCTGATGGCAAATTGCGAACTTGTGGCAATTTGCAAAACTACAGCATGGCCAGAACAAAGGACCCTTATTATATAGGGTCGAAGTGCATAGAGAAGTGAAAGCAACGCTTGACGTTGAGTGATGACGCAGGGGGGAAGTGGCAATGGTCCATCGATGATCCTCACGCTTCCCACAAAACGCCAGCGCGGGGACGTCTCGTCCCGCCAAAGACAAGGCAATTATACCACCTCAGCAATAGCAAAAGTCTTGTGTCACCTTGGCGACTACAACTATTACCTAGATCCAGATCACGATGTCACAAACCGGGATCCCCTTCGACATGCCCACCAAATCCCAAGTCGTCGCCGCAAAACAAAAGCAAGCCGAATCCCAACCATCATCAGGCGAATCAAGCCCAACATCAAAACGCATCCTGCGCTCAAATTTCATCGTCAAGACCACTGCCTCGCGCGGCGCCCAAGCAGCCCCAAAGCAAATCCGGATCCTCCTCTGCAATCCCAACAGCACGGCCTCCATGACCTGAGCCTGCGTCAACATGGTGCTCCCCATACTCTCCTCCAACGTCGCCCTCGTGGGCTGTACTGCCCTGGAACCCGCACCATCAGCCATCGAAGGCAAATTCGACGATATGATGTCTGCTGCCGTGGCTGTGCAGGGCATCCTGCAGCATGCGAGCTAGTTCGATGCGTTTCTGATTGCGTATTATAGCGACCATGCGCTGATTCGCATGCTGAGGGAGGAGTTGAGTCAGCCGGTGTGCGGGCATGGCCGATCTGAAGTCTGCGGTTGAAGAGGCTGTTGGTGAGGATGTGCAAGTCATTGACGGGGTGGTGGCTGGAGTCTATCGCCTCATTGGTCTTTGCAGAATGGGTGTGAAGACTGCGAAGAAAGGGGCCTACGCCCGTTCTGCAGCAGCGAGGCAGAGGAGAGGTCAGGACTGGTTAAGAGCGATCAGCAGTCTTTGGAGTGATCTCTGTGACCTCGATCAGCCAGCGAAGGAGAAGACCATGTCCATTTTGACGGGCAAGCCTTTTCCGCCCAGACATCTTGTCACGCTGTGGCATAGCGACTATTGGCATTTACCAGACGATAGTGCCAGCATTCGACGAAGCTGTTCACGTAAATGTTGGCTAAAGCTTCTGCATTCAGTAAGGGTTGTATTCCGTTGTCGACCTGTGATCAATGCTGGACAATGACAGAGGCGGAGTCGAGGGGCCAAGGAGGAGATGGAGCGTGACTGAGAGGGATGTAGACATCATTGACAATGTTGGGACCGTAGGTGCAAGGGTTGAGAGGAGAGCCGCAACATGTCAACATATGCATTCAGCTGTGATGCCTTTATGATACACTATGTATACTGAGGGTACAGCAAACTTAGGGAGTATAGCGACGCGCTTTCATGTGCAGATATTATGTCACAAGAACGCCATCAAATGCAAATCTATAGGGTGTCTTCTTCTCCATCTAATCCATATCCTCCAGCGTACTCTTAGCAGGCGCTTGCTCTTCAGACACAAAGATGCCAACCATGCACTCGCCCAACATGTTCTCCCAGTTCACCCAGGGATGGACCTCCATGAACAGCTTTGTCCCATCCTTGCCCGCCGCTCTTCGCAGCTCACCCTCTCCACCAGGATGGTAAGGCAAGTAAGGGCTGATGTTGTAGACCTTGCCTTGATAGACTGACCATGCGTCCTTCATTTTGCCCGTCTCCTTGTCCTTGCGCCCGTTCATGAACTTCAACATCGAAGGTGTGACGCATACTAAGGAGCTCACACCGGATAGGTTGGTATTGCTGCGCTGTAGGTTGGCCCAGTCAAGTGGCGAGTGACCAGGCGTAAGTTGCACCTTGTTGCGAGCATTAGGCGTCTTGATAACATTAGGATTGCCTGAAGGTGGCAGCGCAAGAGAGCCGTTTGAGTTCGGTGGGCCTCTGCTCGGGACCGGGCCGCGGTTTGGCACAGGTCCTCGTGGTGGAATGAGGCCAGGCGCGGCGGGTCCACGAGGAGGCACGAGACCTGTGGCTGGTGCGCTAAAGCCCTGAGAGGTGGATGCTGTGGGTAAGGGGCGTAGACTCGAGGCAGAGACGCGTGGAGGCGGTGCCATGAGGGAAGGAGAGGAAGCGGGTTTCGATGGCGGGGCCATGCTGCCATTCGATGCGGGAGGAGCCATGAGGCTGGGCTGAGGCGGTGGCGACATCGCGAAGCTCGGCGGTGCTGGTTTCGAAGCTCGTTGTGCGGAGTTCAGCGCTGGAAACGAAGGCGGCGGCAAGTTATCCTCATCTTCGCTCTCACTGGAGCTGTGATGCTCCTCGAGCGTGAAGGACGGTATAGCTGGCGCATTTGCATTGCTGGCCGTAGCTTTTGGAGTTGTTGCAGGCGACAAGTCCTGGAGTTGTACATCCTTCTCTTGTTGTCCTTGCGACTCTATCTGTTGCTGTTCGGCGGGGCGCTCTTCACCCTGCTGCGACTGTTCGGGCTCCGTGGGCGCCGCAGAGCCCTGCGCGGAGGCGAAGTAGGAGGGCCATGTAGATAGTGGGTGGTGGTAGATCAGTATCGACAGCGATATGGCCAGGATTGAGACCGCAACGAGCATCTCTCGGGTCTGCGGTTCAGAGAAGGAGTGTTGGACCCTCAATCGTAGAAAGTCCTCGGGATGGTCGCGCCTCCCAACGCCGAGCAGATCCATGCCGCCGCGTATTGTAAGGCTGAGCAGCGCTAGTTCCCATGATCTCACTCGCCGCTATACCGTCACTGCTGTGTGTCGAAATCGAGAACAATGTTTGGGAAGAAGTTTGACATGTCCGCCACAACATCTTCGCACATCAAACTTTTGGCAAGCAATTCATTGGAACCCTTCATCAACCATCCGCGGTTACGCATCTGATACGCGCCCCACGTACCTTCTAAAGCCCCACCACGACACCCCTCCTTCCGCAATCGTAGTCGCGCCGCATACAATAAGTGAATCAACCACCAATTCGACGCGTTCCTTCCTCGCAACAACACGGCTACGGCAGTCGCGAACGTGCCCGAGGGCGTCATGTCCCTTCTGGACACTGACCTTTCCAAATTGACTATGCAATGTTGCGTACTCAAGTTCTTCCCGGATGTATCAGTCACGTACAGCTTCACAAACTGGACGCCTGACAAGAAGCTCAGTCGCGCGGCTTTCAAGTGGCTACAAGCACAGGTAGAGAGTATGACTATATCACGAGAAATTGTGCGCGCTTGCCAAAACAGAACAGAGCTTGAGAACATTCGCGTAACACCAGACGAGCTCGACTTCCTTAAAAAAGATCTGCCCCTACCTGAACAGCCAGTACCTCCGCTTCCTTTCCACGTTCCACCTTAAGCCTGCGACCCAGCTTAAGCTGTCCTTCACCGCGATTAATGACACTGGCTCAGACAAAGATCTTGGCGACTTCTGCATTGACACTGAAGGATTATGGCTAGATACAATACTGTACGAAATCCCTACTTCTCGCGCTGGTCAGCGAGGCATACTTTAAGTCTGTTGAGAAGGCCTGGTCATATGAGGGGCAGGTCGAGAAGGCCTACCAGAAGGGCTCAAAGCTGCTGGAAGGAGGCTGCATATTCTTAGAATTCGGCACAAGGAGGCGGAGGGATTACTACACACAGGATCTGGTTCTGCAAGGACTGCGCCGAGCAGCGGACGAGGGCAAGACATCAGGGTGGAGTGGCAAGCTGTTAGGGACAAGCAACGTTCACTTTGCGCACAAGCACAAGCTGGTGCCCATTGGCACAGTCGCGCACGAGTGGTTTATGGGTATCGCAGCAATCACGAATGACTACGTGCACACCAATAAAATCGCACTGGAGTACTGGACAGCGACATTCGGCGAGGGCGTCTTGGGCATTGCGCTGACCGACACATTTGGAACACCTGCCTTCCTGAAGGCTTTCAAGAAGCAGATTCCCAACATCACGACTGCTATTGAAGGTGGCAGCGCTATATAAGCGTCTGCGGCGTCTACAACCACTCCAGTTACACAATTGCTCGCCTCGACCGAGCCACCGATCTATGCTGGGCTTGAGGGCGCGAATCGACCACGCAAGACTTTCGCAGAGGTGTTCACCGGCGTGCGCCAGGATTCTGGAGACCCACTGGACTTCGTCAAGATGATGCGCGAGTTCTACGACCAGGAGGGGATTAAGGACAAGAAGGCCATTGTCTTCTCCGACTCCTTGAATCTTGAGCTATGTTTCAAGTATAAGGCTGCTGCTGAAGAGGCTGGTTTCCTCCGCGAAGGGTCGACACGCTGTTAAGATCAGTGACAACATCGGCAAGAACAACGGCGATAAGGCTACCGTCGAGGAAGTCAAGAGGAGGCTTGGATATACTGAAAAGGAGTGGGCTGGCGGAGACGAGAAGACACGATGGGGAACCGCGAAGGAGCCGGCCAAATCATAAGGCCGTCTGCGAAGCAGACGGCAGCAACAACGAGCCTTGGAATCTGGATATTATGGACACGATAGCGTTGATTTTGAACATCACGCTCCATATACCCGCATCCGAAGTCGAATCTGAAGACCTAGATACAGTCAAAGGTGGCACATGACGTCTTGCGCCTGAATACGCGTTCAATTGGACCAAGAATTGATAGGGAGTGAGTGTCGCATTGATAAAGTTGACATTTGCAGTGGGTCATCGTAAACGAGGCTGAGCTGGTACCCTGCCGTGTGCTGCAGATCGCCACATGCATAAGCGCTGGACGTGGCTGAGTCTGGGCACAGCTACACCCTCAGCCTGCTCGAGACGCCATATTCCCTTCAACATCACATATGTGCCCTCCTTACGAAGTGTTCGGCTGCTCCGTTGCTCAGACATTCGGGAAACCATATCGAGATCGAAGATGGCGAGACTAACGACCCAGGTACAGGCTGGCGCAACTGGCGCAAAGCCACCTCCGCGCCGTGACGAGGTCGAGTCGGAGCAAGAGTCAGGATTATCGCAGCCAGCGCCACGTGAAGAGTTAGTCGAAAATGTGAGACTGATCTCGAAGGCCGAAGCTGAAATGCTTGAAACGACTGTGCCGCTAGGCTCGTCGTTGTGTCAAGACACAGCGAGTGACTATCCGAACATTGATTGGCATGACTATTGCTCGGAGCTTGAAGAGTTACTGCCTTCTCTTTCAAAGAAGGATAAAAAGAAGGCCAAAAAGGCTAAACGAGTGTTTCGAAAGGAAGACAGCGACGTTGATAACAGCCAGCTGGGGCTGTCACCTAAGGAGCGCAAAAGCAGTCCCGGGGAAAGTGTCTCCTCAATCGCTGAATCTGCTTTGGATCCGTTTCCCAAACTTGAGGAGGAGGGGTGGGATCCTCAATACTCTTGGACACCGCCCTCGTTCTCGTTATTGCCGGTAGATCTCGAAAGCTTCGAGCGGTCGCGTGCTGATCAGGAAGGTTTCGATGCAGACGTGACTAAACTGTCGCTGCAGCGTGTCGAGGACAGCTCCATGACATTCGAAGAGCATGACGACAAACATTACCCGCCAGCTGGTTCGGCCCCTCAATCTACGTACACGACACCAGAACAGTCAGTGAAAACGGAGGATGTGAGATTCCAGGATCTGTATCCAACAAACCTGCAACCAAAGAAGCAGTGCAAACACGAACTTCCTGCAGCTACCGCTATCAAAAGTAAAGCTTCGACGAAGGTACCTCCAACGGAAAACCTGGAGTATGTTCCGGCTCTCTCACGTGCTGTCAACTACACGACGAAGAGCCCTCTGGCAAATTATCCTTCTACTGTCGAGACTGACGTCCCGTCACACGATGACGTGATATCGGAGACACGCGCTGCTACGCTGAAGATGATGAACGATCTCAACGACGCGAAGAATTCGTTCATCAAAGGTATCGGGGCTTCTGTCAAGAACGCCGCAAATGCACCCTCACATAGATCAGGGGTTGAAGGTGAATGGGAAGGCATTCACGATTCCAATACGGGGAGAGGTCCTCTAAGACGGATTTCCACGACCGAAGTTCACCCCGAAGCTCCTGAGCAAGAGCGCTCCAGCACATCAGATGCTTCTCAAGCAGACCGCCGTCTGGTATTCAATTCGCCCTGGAGTCATCTCGCGAATGCTGAGCCTGAAGGGCTTGATACCAACAACCTCACTGGGCTAGAGAGTGAGCTCGAAGTAGACGAAAAACGGGCAGCTCAAAAGAGCGTCATAATTGGCCATCACGAGTCTGGAGAACAAGATAGCGACATTAACAGAAGGTTGTTGTCTCCTCGCAACCGCCTTCTAGGATCAGCGGGGGCAGCGAGAGGCCGGACCGAATTTGTTTCTGATGGCTTGGGGGATGATGATACCAAGCAGCCACGCGCCGCGCACCAGATCACAGCTGCCATGTTGGCGAAGTACCATCTCCCTGCTATCGTTATGGGCCGCGGTGCTATGCCTGTCCGCGAAATCGTGGCACACCTCACCCAGTCACTGCCTGGCTTCTCTGAGCTAGCACCCGCAAAGGCGAGAAGACTTGTTGTCGAGGCGTTAGAGCATCGCCCTGGCGGCGGTATGCACGGCGAGGTCAAGTTTGAGAAGGTTGATTGGGGTAGGTGGAGTGCTGGTGGATTGTCACAGGTGGAAAATGGAGACCCCTCGCTTTCTGGCCAGGGCGAAAACAACGAAGCTCCGGGTACTAGCCGTGCATCTTCGACTGATCATGAGTTAGCAGATGCGCGGAAATTGCTCAGTCGACTTACAAGACGCTATGATATTAGCGACGACTTCTGGAAATCGTTGCCTGTGATCGAGGAGGACGAGTTCCACGAGAATGAACAGGCCAGACCGCCCGTCGCGGACCAACTACCCGACCCTCCGCCGATTTCCTCACCATTGCACCCTGAGAGACTTCAGATGGTGTTTCCCAGTCCACCACTGGTCCATGAAGATATCGTCGTGGATGAAAGTTGTATCTCTAATCAGGACATGGATATTACGGTTGGCAACCCGAATGCCCGCTCCGCTCTTGACTGCCGCAGATCTGATGGCACACAACGGCAAAGAGCTTTGCCAAGTGGTGAATCACCGCACAGTATAGAACAGTCCACCGATCCACGCAGTGATGGTGAAGAGTCGACTCACGGAGGTTCCCGTCCAGACGATGCGTCAGATGAAGAAGCACTTCCAAAGCATGATGCGACAGAGAAAACCGACGAGCGACTCCCAGAGTGTTGGATGTGCTGTCAGTGTCACATACGCCATCGCCTTGATAACGGTCAGTACTGTGCTGATTGCGACCATCACCTTTGCGGTGACTGTGACCTCATCAAACGAGACAGACCACTCATAATCAGATGGGAATCTCCTCATAAAGCAGATAACGCTATCATCAGGCAGCAGGAAGGCAATGGTATCACTGGCTCTCATTCGCCTGGCCTGTCGCTCCATCTTCAGGCTTGGTTTGACGCCCATCGCGACCATCCTTATCCAGATGCCAGAGAGAAGGCAGCTTTGGCAGAAGCCGCAGGAATCACCGTCAACAAAGTCAATAACTGGTCCATAAATGCCAAACGGCGATTCAGTGCGCAAAGACGCAAGGATGCGGAGGATGCTGTAAGACCAGAGGTCGTGGAACTGCCAGAACCGGCGTCTGCATCTGCAAGTGGAAGCAGGCGTAGTTCATTCGGCGTAGAGACAAGCGAGGTCAGGCAATACCAGACTACACCAGAGAACGACGAGCTCTGGCTTGATTTGTCAACCGTAAAAAGTATCTTCGAAGAGCAGCTGAAGGCATATCTTAGCGAGCACGGTGCAGCCGACGAGCCTTCCCTGGACATGTCAACCATTCAAAGCACCCTTGAGTGTTGGATTATGGTTCTCTGTGAAGAGCAATCTGTTGCCTTGGTTCGGCAATTTTGCCAGCAACCGTCCATTGTGAATTTGCTGGGACAAGTAGCAAATGGTTGTCAAGTCAAGATCTCGTCTACGCGGCGCCCGATCTCTGTTGAAGATTGGGAAGATGCGCATGAAGCGTCGACAGGTCTCGACAGCCCGGTTATAGGTGACCATTCTGCAGTGGCTAAGAGAGATGGTAGCACGGCAGATACCGGATCGAACGATCATGTGGAGGACTTGCCATCTTCTGCGTGGGAAACGCCCAAGACAAGGGAGGAACAGTCGCCCACAGACCTTCGTCATGGCATCCCTGACTTCGACGCTGTTGATGGACAAATTCGCGGTATTCTGGATTGGCTGAAGCCGAGAACTGGTCATTTTGATGGTGAAGATGAGCTTGCCGAAATGCTGCACACATTGCAAGGCGCCCTTGTCCAGCTTGGTGGCCGCAACCTGTTCACATTCCCCCTAGATCAAGTTACCGCGAGGATTTCGTATGCTCTTGCAGGGCTACGAAAAGAGCTTTTCACTCTGGATCGCCGCTTGCCAAAGCAAGTGTTCCTAGTCTCGAAGCCTGCTGGCTTGCCTCAAAGTTTGGAAGATCTGGGAATCGACTTGCATCGGCTACTGAAGGCTCTCGACGCAACTATTGGTGTTGTCGAGGCATTCGACGGACACTTCGGTATAAGCCCTTTCCCCCTTTGGCACTGGTCGTTATGGAACTCTTCGAATGAAAACGCGGATCGACCAGGAGCGAACATCCTGCACCCGAGAATGTATACCGATGATGAGTCTGACGGAGCTTCTGTTATCTCTCAAGTCGAGTCCGTTTTCTCCATAGCGTCTTTGCACTCAGCAGCGACCGGCCTCTCAGTAGCCAGCGGATTCAGTGCTGCACAGATAGAGACCGCTACGAAAGAGCTGCTGCACATCTTTCTGGATGATCAAGTTTTGGCTTCTCTATATACCGTTGCTGTTGAGCGTGTGGATATCGGTCCTGTACGATTGCAACGAAACATCGGGCGCCTCTTGAAGGCTTTCGCTCGTGATCTGCGGAACGAAGCTGAACAGGAGCTGGAGAAGTTGGCAGCGCGCCTAGTCTCCGCAAAACGTTATTACGTTGCGCAAGCCATTATCGACCGTTACGAAATCAGAGCTCCGTCAGAGCTTACATCACACCCTCAGTCACCACTTAGGTCTCAACAACGGGAAGACAGCTCAGACGAAGAGGAAGAAGAAGTAGATGAAGGGAGGATGGAAGAGCCTGTTGACGAAGATCTTATCGAGGACCTTCTGGCGTTTCGGCAGTTTCTGGCTGCTGGTGAAGCGTTTGAAAGATTCCGAAGACAATTGGAGGCCTTTGTCTTACCGAAGTTGACAGAAGTGAAGAATGAAACAACTGTAGGAGAACCCTCGACGAACATGGAATCAGCCCCAAATCCTGGAAGCAGACTTCCTGAGCAAGCTAAACAAAAGGTCCAACCAACGGTCTTAAGCAAGATTCAGAAGGCGACTGCACACTTAGTGTCTGCAGCAGGGCTGCTGGAACCACCTCTCGACTGCGGTTGGGTTAGGCTAAGATGGCAATGCGTAAGTGAATAAGCTATTCTGACTTGGTAGATCACGTACGACTGAAACTGACTCGTGATAAGAGGTGTGGGCAACAATTCTTTGGCGATGTGAAAGAGTTTCGTGCCAACGGGGTCAAAGAGCTCATCGAGAAGATGAGTCGCTCAACAGGCGCCAAAGTCACCGTTGTGCCCTACGACAGCACATCAACAAATCAAAATTGGGCACTCAAAGCCCCATCATGGGTACGAAAGCTTACTAGCACTTCCAAATTCGGGCAAGCAAAAGGTTCGAGCTCCACAGAGTACTTACCACAGCACAACGTTCCCGCACAATGTCCTCAATCGACATTGTCAACACCGACTTCCAACGATACAGTACCATCAAAGCCAAAGATACACCTTTTGTCTTGTACACATCGTACACAGCGCCGGAAATGCCTCCTTCAAGATCCCATCGATTCCGTATTCACGGATCGAGCTCTGTTCTGCTTCATGCAGCAGCAACTTCAGCGCAACCGAAGTCGGATTCGTAGCTTACTTTCGATGAGAAGTATTCAGGGCATGTTCTTCGTCAAGGTGGGTATTTCTCTCAGCAAAGTTGTTGCAGAGCTGACAAGATGGAAAGTTCCGACTGCGGATGGGCAACATGGTCGAAGTCCGAGACCACAATCCATGTTGTACCTCGACGAACCCAAATACGTGCGAATGCATACCACCAGTACCAAAGGTCGAACCATCGCCAACCGCAGAGTATCGCTGCACTCCAGCCGGTCCTCTCGCCACGTGGCCGCCAGTCCTGTCGCAGGATTTGATGCACATGCTCTCCTCACCAGAGTGCATCAACGAACAAGAGACATGGGTTCTTGATCAATTACCAAAGCGAACGGTTGGTGAACTCCAAGCAAGTGCTGGCCAACCAGCAGAAGGATGGGGTGTCTACTACCAGGAGGGGGTCGACTTTGATATGGTCATCGCGGTAGTGTTTGTTGTTTTCCTTCTGGCCAGCCTGCTTTTTGCTGTGTTGTGGACAAAGTTCGAGATGGATGTTCAGGGGGCGTTTGGTGTGAGCTCCTACATGATCACAGCTGCTGGAATCTTTCTGGCAATGGTGGCCAGTCGGGCGAAGAACTTTGGCTCATGAAGTGTGACTTTATTGCTGGCTTTATGTAATTGCTGACAACCAGTTTCCTGTCGATGTTGCGAATAATGAAGCGGTGTATGATATGGGATAAAGAGCAAATGATTACAAGGAAGAGCATTCAATATATTCGTGAATCTGGAGTGACTGGTGGAGGCCGACTAGCATCGTTGAGTACACAGAAGTCCACGCGGCATCTGTTGGCTTTCGCAGGCGTACTCAACGTCTTGAAATAAGGCCGATCCGTCATACCCCATGCTGCTTTGGTACAAGGCGCATATGTTTGTTGGCAGCCTTTGATTGGTCTGTTGCCCGCTGCTGGTGTGGCTGAGCCAAGCTCAGCCCACATGGTCGCTCAGCCTGGTAAGCTTCATACATCTTGCCTTTCTCCCACGCAAGGGACAACGAGTTTTGGACTACAACCTCTCTTCTCTTACTTCAAGCTATTTGTGTCCTTTCAAAACTTTCGGGATCATCATGTCCACTAACCTCGAGCCTCCTTCTGGCGATCCATCGAGTCGAGAGTCCAAGGTCGAACATCGTGGTGCGGATGTGTTGTTCTCAGACACAGACGTTCTCAACCCACGCTCGACTTCACAACTCGACGTCCGCGAGCATACCCATGTCGGATCCGCTACATCAATATCTCAGGAATCGGCTTCGTTCTTGGTTTTGTCAATGGAATGAAGAGCTACGAGGTCGTTCCAGAGACTGGAGTTATGGAGCGGTTCCATGCCATCTCTCAACCACTGACAACGGGTTTACGTAGTTTTTTGCGAAGCAAGAAAAGGCCGGACAATGCCGCCCTCACGATGAGGATGCTCGGAAAAACGGAGCAGAAGGCAACGCCTTGGATCGTAGTATCCTGCGATCCCAAAGCTTTGATAAGAGCGAGGAAATATTTTCAGAAAGTTTACATTCGCAGTCTCTATCAGGCACCTTACGATGTTAGATTCTGTCTAGTTGTGGTGGCTGCTGCACCTTCGATGGAAAGCTCATCTGAAGATGGATGGTTAAGCGCTGAGTCGATGTAATCTGAGTGGAGCCGTTCGAGTTCGCAAAGCCGGAAAGACCCAGAAGTAGGATCGTCAATCGATGCTCTACCATCTGGACCGCCTGCAACGGCAAGCACTTCTTCTGCGGTAGGAGATAACGAACTGGAATATGAGGCTGACTCGAGAGTCGGCATTCAAGGTGAGCCTTACACCATGCCCAGGATTGATCCGCTGAGCCTTTCAAAGGGTGGCGTGCCAGACAATGCTGCTGCTCAAGAGCTTGTCGAGAAGGTCGAACAGCTGACAAGGAGGATACTAGGGAGCTCTAGCTGCAAAAAACTCCGCATTGATACCGAGGCTGCTCGATGTATTTGTGAAGGAGTGGCGATTGCTCTCCTCTTAGGGTGCTTGAATTATCACCGCATTAGAGTAAACTCACAAGGTAGCAATACAGAGCATGTCCACCGAAAGCATGACTTAGGTGATTGACATCAATCTGCAGCGGCTCACACAGATTTCTAATTAGGCGTGGCAGTTCTATTGATTTGATCACCGCCTCAAAATAAATTCCTCTGTGGAAGGCCAGTGAATCGCCTTCTCCAACATGTCGTCCCTCTACACGCCCGGTCAGATTGATGACGCCAACCTGAACTACCACTACAGAGTGGTATTCGACGATGCTCGTGGTATATACTACCAGTTGGCGACGGGAGCACTAGGCTTTCCCCAAGGCTTCTGGATTCCGAGCGGTAAGCGCAACGAGCATCTCTTATAACAAGCCTCAGCTAACGGCCAGAAGCTCACAGCAAGCTACTTCTGCACCCGCAGTCTCTTCAGAACCCGCTTCATCGTCTGCAGTGCCAGCACCGTCCAGTTACCGGACTAAGGTGGTATCGACTTTTCGAATCGTGGCACACACCATGGGACCTTTGGCGCCCGGCGCATCCATCAGCCAGAACCATTGGACGATATATCTGCTCGTCCAGGGCGGTTCAGTACAGCTGAATATGAAGACAAACACAGATCTGCACTCCCGCCGAGGGATTTTTTTGGTTAAAGAGCATGCCTATTCGGAATCGAACATGGCTGTGTGTTTCTTCGATTTCCCAGCCGCACCGAGTGTCACGGTTGGGTGGGTCGAAAGCGAGATCAGGTAATTGTATTTTGAAATTCACAATATAAATTTTTAAAAGTTTGGACTAGTATAGAATCCCATACAGACCGCATCGGTGGTTTAGTGGTAAAATTAGCCGTTGCCATCCTTCACAGGACAGTTTCGGCTAGCCCCGGGTTCGATTCCCGGCCGATGCAATCTTTTTTTTGTTGTTGCTGCTCGTGATGGTGATACGCAAGAGCTACTTTTTTGTGAGGCATAGCTTACAAAACTTCTATCTACCATAGCGACCGTCGCCTCGCTTCACCGTAGTCAACTGCTCAAGACGGATCGATGTCCCCCGCTTGTCTTCTTATCAGCACCTGCCTACGTGCAGCGCACTTGCTCGGCCCCGTAATTATATCACGAGTGCCTACAATTCGCAAGCCCACAGCCTTTTCCTCGAAACACATCATTCCGCGGTCGGTTTCTACCTGGATCACCAGAGTCTGACACGAGGCGCCAGAATGTATCCACTTGGCACCAAAATGGGGATTCGTCATCTACCGTTGCGACTACCGAGCCGATAAGCCTGGAATAAGTTCGTTACAATTGGAAAGACATGATCATTAAGGACACAATATCTTTCTACAAAGACGGGCTTAGTCTGGCGAAACAACTCTACATGACAATCAGAGAAGACCGCATGACTCTTGACGGAGCCAGTGCAAAGACAGTGCGAGCGCAGCACCTGGCGTGGACTAAATCAGACGAAGCTTTCCAACGGGCTTTAAAGCAGGACAGGTGGAGTATGGAGCATCGTTCGCTTTCCTGGCCTCGCTACGATTTCTGCATACACGTTGATGCAGAAGCGCTCGACTCATGCTTTCTATATCTTGCGCTGCTGGAAGAGAAGAAGATGTATCGGAATGAAGAACGGGATAGAGCCTTGGAGACAGCTCCCTTCGTCAAAATTGTTACTTGTCAGGTCATTCCTGAATACGACGAGCTGCAGGAACTGGTGGATGACGTGTATGAGAGACACGGCGTTTCAACGAAAGTGGACTTTCCGTCTGTGATGCCGAGCTATTACGCTGTTATCGATACCTGATTCTTTGATGAGTGGGCGAATGGCATGGACTGCGATCAAGATGGGATTGTTCAGTTCCAGGATGTGCCTCTAAGACACAAGGCATTATTAGGGCCTGCCCTTGGATTGTTGTGATGCCATGAGGCTTGTCCTGGATTTGTGAGATTGTATGTATGGTGTGGACATCCACAACGTTGCAAGCGACGTCAATGGTCGTTCTCTCTGCGCTCTGTTGGCTACGGGCAGACTCATTAATTCCGCGGCGACCTTATCTCGATGCAACCTCGAGGAGGAAGTAGCAACAGATGAGGGATGTGGCCCTCGCGAATATTGGTCGCCAAAGATCTCATACATTTTCTTTTCCGCTCTTTACGTCCGCGATCTCAATCCATATCGGAGCTGATGCAGGAAGAAGTTGTGACCGAGAGATGGGAGGCTGTGTAGACACAGCCACCATATCGATCAGACGTACTGTGGTGGTTGAGTCGTCGCACAGCATTTCAAAAGCACCTTCAGGGCGAATGACAAGCATTTGCCAAGGCGCCTTATTACTTCGGCCCGTAGTGTGGATCTAGCGGGTCTGGAATCTCGCGAAACCGCACCATCAGCCGTGTTCATCTCCTGAGGGTAAGACTCCACCCTGGACTAGCGTTACCCCTCAGCCCTCGCGTCGCGCGCTTAGCCCCAGCTAGCGCGTAACT